TTTTTTTTTTTTTTTTTTTTTTTTTTATTATTATCATCATCTAATTTTAAGTCTTGTTTTGCGTGTAGAAAGTGCTCAGTGTATATCATCTGCATCAGGAAGAAAAATTTTTATGAGTATAGTTGTTTGTTTTATTAGCAGGTATAGGTGCATGGCACGTTACCGGCGATCGAAGTAATGCGGGAGGAGTCGTGGGCTCGGTGGCAGGAGCTCCGGGAACGACAGACGAAGTCTTTCTTGCAGCCCAGGAGGCCGCACAGGCCCACCGCGACTCTCAAGGTAGGCTCATCCATATCATTTTTTATTTGCTCCTGCTCGCTGTAACAATAGGCACTCGTGTTTGACAAAATTTTTTTTCTTTTTTTTCCTTTTTTTTTCTTTTTTTCCTTTTTTTTTCCTTTTTTCTTTTACTTAAATTTGCATATTGATGCAAAAGAAAAAAGACTGAAGTATTTAATAATTATCTAAATTTATATGATTGATTAAATAAGAAAAAAAAATAAGAAAATACGTATTTTATGCTTAATTTTTCAAATTAAGTAATTTGCTTATATATTTTTGAATTTCGTTATCTATGATAACGAAATATATATATACATATATATAAATGAGACATTGAAAATGATTTGTTAAAAATCTATTTTTTAGGAATGAAGAAAAATTATGAACTAATGTTCAATTACGAGAAAAGCCTATTGCGCAGGCGTGACAGGGCTTATATTTTCTTTTCACTGTTGAATAACGTGGTTCAACCTAGCAGCCGGTACATTCAAGAGTAGCACGGTCTCTGAAAGAGCTTTTTCATTTCCTGAACAGGGCATGTAGCTTCTCGTTAATTTCCAAGTTCCTTCTATCTTTTTTCTACCTTTTTTATTTTCATCGCGATATTACGTTACGAGGTTGACATAAGATTTGCCGATGTTTCGACGAAGATTTATCATTTTATCTTTTCACTCTATTTTCGTTTGTCTTAATGAATTATCGATCAACAGTGCAAGATACCCTGATAATATATCCACGACTATATAACGTTACTTTCCTTCCTTTCCCTTTTTTATTCTTCTGCGGCTAATCTGTATCGTTGGCCTCGCAACGCGATATTGCATGACCTCTCTCTCCTCTGCAAGGAAAACGTCGACCGTGCGGAGCAGCTCTCCGTCATGACCACCGACCAAAGGAAATATGAAACTCCTCGCTTCTTTCATATTTTGCGTCTAATCAAGGAAAAAGTCATTATTTGTATACATACTTTCATGTACATTGTACATAATATATAATATATTCGGTTTTGTCTTAATTTCACGTTAGTAATCGTGCTAATTTATACTACAGAATATAAAAATATGGATGGTTAAGAGAAAGATGGGGGGGGTGTATATGCCGGAAAGAGAGAGAGGAAAAAGAAAAGCAATAAGGGCAAGAGATCCGGAAAATACAAATGTCGCGTATCGTGATTCTGGAAATAGAATATACGATTTAGAATAATTATTTCTTGTATTCAGTTTCGTTTTCATTTTTCTACATAAATCGTATTCGATCGATTCGTTTCACAGTGTGCAACGATTTAGATATCAGCGAATTATGTGTAGAACTCGATGTGGATAGGGCAGGTCTCTCCAAAGTATCTCTCTTAGATGTTTTTTTTTCTTTATGGTGAATAATAAAATATATTTGTAATATTAAAATTCTGCAATATATTTCTGCTAATATATTATTTATTAGAATTATTCTTATTTAAAATGATTTATACATACATATATATATTATATCGTTGATTAAATTTGTTACGGTTGTTTTATATAATTTTATAAATCATTTTCATTAAGTCTTTACTCTCGACACGTTAGACGTCATCCAAACTTCAATATTAGGTACTAGGAGACGTGTTCTTCATGAGGATCCACCACAAAGGCTTTCCATGAACTGGAAGCAGCATCGTCTTCAAAAAATTCAAAGTTCAGGAACCAAAAAGTTTCCCCAGAGATCATGCAGGGTCTGTAAAGTACACGGAAAACGTAAGGATACATGTTATATGTGTGAATACTGTCGAATACCCCTTTGCAGAATCAAATGTTTTGAATGTTATCACACGAAAGAGCAATACTAAATTTTTGTTGCACGATTTTTATATCATTTTTATTTTATCGAATTATAATTAAAAAATTCTCTTGTAAAAACTCTACAATTCATAGTTACTATAATTCAAAGTTTAGGTATAATTTTTATAAGTATAGGAAAATATATTTTATTTAAGTGAACGCGTATGGAACGAAATATGAATAATAATGTTCTATATAAGCTGACGAGAAATATATTTAAAATGAAGTTATATTAAGTGCAAAAAGACTAAATGGCCACAAATTTTGTAACAAATTAATTTATCTAATCAAAGAAATGAAGTAATTTCTAAAGTCTAATTTCTAATTAGATTCGTATAATTTTTGGATAAAAGATGAATAAATAATAAATAAAATAATAAAAACGATTATTTGAAATTAACAATTAATGTGATTGTTGTATATGATATGAAAATTATTATCGAAGCTTTGCGTTTCATAAGAATAACTTATATAGTAAAAGATCGAAAATAAATCGTAGAAAAAATATATTTGACCAGATTTTATTTAACTGTAAGAGGAATGTAATCTGAAATAAGTTTTTTTTGTAGGTGGCAGTGTGCAGAAGATATGAAGGTCAACTTCGTTTTTTAAATGGTATGATATGGTTTTTATTTATTTTCTGATAGAACGTTTTAAAACGAATACAATCTAGTTGAAGGTCATTCAAGATCGTCAAAAATCGATTACAGTAGAAATTATTTCATAAAACTGATCGAATCACTTTGATAATTTTCTAAGTTTATATATTTATTGCCGATAAAATACGTTTAAAAATAATCTTGAACATCAATGTACAATTTGAAGTGTTACAATAATGAATAATATATATTTATTAATTTTTCTTACTTAAATAATTACAGATATTAAAATATAAAAACGTATATTTTTTTATTTTTATTTTTTAACTGATTAATTCAACAAAATTCAAAGTTCTTGCTACATGAATTGTCACATATTCATTAAAATATTTTTTAATAATTGTAACAAAATTTCTATCTCAATTTTTCATTTATATTTCCAATTATAGAATATATCGTTAAAATGAATGAAATAGTAATAAAAAAATGGAATATCAATAATCAAGAGTAAATTATTGAAATAATTTATTTTTTGTTATAATATTGATTTTGAATTCGATCTTCAATTATAAATCATTGTATTCGTTTCAAAACTCAATATTAGAAAATAGATAAGATCATTTTCTTGAAAAAAAAAAAAATGAATTTTACCTTCATATTTTTTCTGCATTTTTTAAAAAAATATTGATATCTATCTCAAAATTAAAACAAACTTGATTTGATGTATTTAAATTATTTATGTGGCCTGTTTTAAATGTTTCATTTAATTATGTACGCATTAGGTTCTCATGAATACTTTGTCTTGAGCTCGATGAAATTTTTGTAGATATAATCGCGATGTTGAGCATTCTTAATTAATAACACATTGAACAATTGAACAATTGAACAATTTATCAATGTTTATTGGATATTTGTTCATTGAATTATATTTAATGCTGCAAATCGTGTATATTGTGAGATAAAAAAACGTTTGTTATGATCATTTTTAAGTGTAATATTTTCATTTTAATCCTTATATAGAAATAGTATATTTTCAAATACGTAATTCGTTTTCATTATACGTAAATGGAAAAGAGAAAGGAAGAAAAAAAAAAGAAAGAAGAAAAGAAAAACAGGAAAATGAGATAGAGATATGTGCAGCTGTTGTTTTCTCGAGTTGATGCATCTGCTCTAGCAGCTGTCGTTGGCAGATGCAACGCGAAGCTATTTGGTGTAGATGCGACACGGATGCATATGGCATTATGAAAGAAGAAAATTAACGTATACTATATTTTTATAAATAGAAAAATATTTATTGTTGTTTTATGTTCCAATTTTTTTCGCAGATATAAATTGTTTCAGGAAAATTATTAGTGATGGTATGAAATGAAAAGGATGAGATACTTTTGGAGAGACCAGTTAGAATTCAGGTTAGCGGTAACGAGTTCTGACAAACAGAGTTAAGATAAAATAAAAAGGGCATTTTCACGCGAGCGCGATATATTCTTCTCGTTACTTTTTTCCATTATCGAAGGAGAGTTATATTAGGATAAATGGTCGCCAAAATAGGTGATCCAACGTGGGAAACAAGGTAACTTCGGAGAGAGAGGAGCGATCTCTCTGTCAATGCTAGTTCTTGATTTCGAGAAAATGTTGTTCGTTTTTTATTTAGTTTGAAAATTCGTTCTTACAATTCGATTTTTACATTTGTTTTTTCGAATGGAAGACAATTTACGAATATGTCACATTTTCCACACATTTTAAGATCGAAGTTTTGATATGAGGGCTCGCATTGATGGGGAAGGTTGTTGTTTTTGTCGTCAGAGACTTGTTACCTTGAATCGATTGTTCATGCCGGATGAATTGAAAAATTTACAAAAAAATTTTTTAGTTGAACGCAAATTTCACATTTGTATCGTCTTAACACGTTCCGTGTTGAACAGTATTCAATGATTTCTGTTTGCGCCGTTTAATATTTTTCTTGAATGGAAATTTATAAGTATTATCGAGATTTTGTATAGGATTTTTCAATAGAAGTTCCAATAGAAAATTCGAAGCAATTGTTTATCGCACGGATCTTTGGTCATCCATTTTGGTTTATCATATTAAGATTCTGGAAATGCATGCTATAAATATAAAATATTTTCTTTCATCTTTTCTTAGATAGAACAAAAAAAAAGTCATCACATTCAAAGAATATAAATTTTTTATACAAAAAATTACTATTTTTTTTTGAAACATTATTTTGCATTTAAATAGTATTTTTATCGATTATTTTGAGTCGATTCAAGTTTAAAAGTAAAATACATACACGTATAGAAGTATATGGTTATAATACAGAGTGAAAATAAATTCCGAATTGGATCTGATCATGAAGGAGCGAGGAGAATAGGTTAGAAAAGGAGAGTATATTTAGGGCTAGGAAATATGAAGAAGAGTGATAATAAAATAAATGAGTGAAATAATTTAGTTTTCATGAGAGATATGTATAGACGGCGCAAATGGATTTTATGATATAAATTTCGCATAGCATGGAACGTGTTTTCTGCACCGTCATTGCATTCGATTCTATCCTAACCAAATAGCACGCAATTATAGTTAATTTGATCGAGATATTCGATTTGTCACGTAACGCGTATTTTTTGTCCATTTTGGTGTTCCATATTTTTGATGATATATTGAGGTAGTACCACATTTGACCATTTTAAGCTCAGTGGTATTTCATTTTCCACGTTGACGCGTGCGTAGGTAAAAGAATAAAAAAATAATAGAGCCGGCGTTGCGCCACGTTATTTGCAGTGCGTAGAAAAACTTTCTGTAAATGTTGTTGTGGAAATAAATATTTATATTTCGGTAGAAAGGATAGAGCAAATACGCGTTTATAATTGCCCGAATAATCTAAGCTTCGTACCTCTTTTATTGTTTTTTTTTTTTTTTTTATAATTTAAAATTCTTACAACACGAGCATGAAAATGATCGAAGCAAATTTTTCGAGCAAAATTGTAAACATGTTTTTGATCTTTACCCTTGAAGCCGAAATGCAACCCTCGTATCCTCAAGAAAAAGAAAGATACCCATTTGTAGTCGTTTACGTGTTTTTTTTGTTGGTTAAGAAATAAGAGAATTCACCACAAATATGTGGTAATAATGTGTAAGGAAAAACAATCGGACGAAAGAAGGGATTAAGATTTATGTGTATATAATTATGTATCTATCGCGCGTGGTAAAGATGCGCACGAGACAAAGTCGAATTGGCTGCGTTCTCTCGTGTATGATTTTATTATTTACGACGTAAAGCCAATCATATGCGTGAGTGTATTAAAACTTCTTTTATCATATCTCGTGATTAACAAGATTCACTAGGGGACAAGGCGTTATGCAATCAACAATATTAGCAGTATTATTTTTTTTCTTCACTTGCACATAAAGGGATTCTAAAGCATATCTCGCTTATTTTTTAATCTCATTGTTTTTGTTTTGTCTATTGCGTTATTGTATAAACGAGGGACGCTTTATTTCATATTTCTAACAGCACAAAAAGCGCACTGATTGGCAATACGTCGATCGGCGTGTCCTCTTATTGCACGTTCTCCGTGTAATATGAAACGCGTGGCTTTTTGAAAGGATCTCGAATGTAACTATAGTTATTCTCGTAACGAAGACGAACGTCTCGTGAACATGGCGATGGGGATATATGTTTTTCCTTCGTGTTGGAATACGATATACGCGTTTTTCCGCGTGTCAAGTCTATAGGTTAGTGAACATCATAACGATCTAAAAATTGAAACAAAAAAAGCACGTGTTCTTTTGGTATTCGTGGCACGCGTGATAGGCGCTGCACGTATCCGCATTAAGACCTAACATGCGCGTGATGTCACGTGGTTCGTGCGCATGCGCGTTTCACGCGTGTCCGATCTTTTCCACGCGTATCGGTACTGTGTGTTTATGTACGTGTTTTGTGTGTCCCGCATGCATGTCTGATGCGTGTTATTTATGCATATGTACGTATGTATACGTACATTCGCAGGCACGCATAAGGTACATGCATACATGTACATGTACACGCACATTACATACATACGATGTGTGATTCAACGTACTTTTTTCTTTATCCATCCGTGTATGCGTACACTCGATAGTTCTCAATCCATTGCGTTGTGCCATTTTTTGCGTAATTCGTCTTGCATGCCTACGCTTCCTTCGGTAGTGTAATTAAGACTCTTTAACTCTACGGAAGTGAGCGAGCGTGATGCGTACTCGTCGCGTGAAAATTCTTTTCGATTTGCCTGCATATCAATATCTT